AGGGAGTAAAGACTCATGCGGTGTAAACACCGGCACGGACTGTTTGATCTGAGTGGCCTGTTTCTGTGCTGTACGTTCTTCGTAAACCTTTCCAAACCTTTCCAAACCTCTCGTCGCCGCCCGTCCCACTTCTGACGCTGCTTCCATGGACGTACGCGCCTGAACCCAGTGCCTTGGGACGCCCTCCCGACAGGAAAGGCGCTTTACAAATGTAATTTTGCCGGTTTTTTGTTGAACTCCTTCGTCCGCTTTCTCCTCTGCACGTCGCAATAGACCATCGTTTTTACATTTGCTCCTCATCAGCTTTGTCTCTGCCGACGCGACTAACCAGACGCGTCACTTTATTTTAAAAAAATCTGCTGAATACTGCTAATAAGCGCAAATAAATACGTTTACCTGGAATTCCAAAGGCTGCCAGAATGGGGTAGTAAACTGCTACGATTGCATACAGCGTTGGAAGTCGCATACTCCCTTTTACACGATGACATTTTCTTGCCGAAGGCAGAGGCTTCGATGAAAGAAATCTGTACTTATAGTGCGCACGAACCTACAAGCTCGCGTCACGAGTATAATTACTTCCAGACATGTGAGCGGACACGATGCTCTATTCACTTGAGAATTGCGCACGTGACGCTCGGAGTCATTTGCTTAATGCGAATTTAAAAAACAAGTGCACAGCAGATAAATGACATCGTAAACAACGAGTGAACAGAACAATATGGTTGAAAACGTTTTACAGAAATTAGAAGACGTGCAAATGTAAGTTGCGTCTACGAAGCGCCATTTGCGCCGGCGAGCGCACGGGAGAATTTAAAGCTTACAACTAGATGACACTCAACGCAGTTGAAGAGAGAACATTGAGACCCAGGGGTGGAGGGGGCGCGGAAAGGAAAGACCAACAAGAGTTTGGTCAAGGCGCGAGGTCTTGATGTCGGCCGTGAAAGAGGTGTGTGAGCGAGCGAATCCTGGGCCCGAAAACGTTTACAGCAGCAATTCGCATCGATAAATCGCCCTCCGCGGAGGGCTTGAGGGTACTCTGGGATTGAGGTACACAGAGTGGGTGGGCAGAGAGGTCAAAAGCCCGATCGCTGATTAAGACCGGATCATAAAACAGGTCGAAGCTTGTCGGGTGATGGGAGCAGCCGAGTCACTACTCTTTGAGGAGATCGCAGTGGTAAATATACCGGTGGGACTTCCGCGGCTTGAAGGTGAGGTCGAGGATCTTGAAACCAATTTGCTGGGGGATGGAAGATAATAATAATAATAATAATAATAATAATCCTTGCATTTGATATAGCGCTTTTCACGTCGGGAGGACGTCCCAAAGCGCTTCACAGAACACACTGTAAAGTGAATTGACTGTATATTTGTGGGCGAACGCGGCGGCCAATTGCGCACAGCAATGTCCCACAAACAGTCGTGGATTGAAAATGACCAATTTATTGTTGTTTTTGGGGGTTTCGGAGGGATTATTATTAGATAAATGGAGCCCGGTGAGGTGAGGCCATAGGCTCGTGGAGCCTTGCGTGGAAAAGGTCAGAGCGTCTGCAGATCGCGTAAGGAGGAACTGGGCAATCCAGCGAGCAAACCCACCCTCGGCGTACCCGAGGCTCGGTGTGTCAAATGCAAGAATGAACGCTGCGACGGCAGGAAAGGAGAGGTCGTGGCAGCGGAGGATGTTATTTCGGAGGTGGGGAAATCTGAGTGGGGTCATAATAGGACTAAATAACAAGGTGGAGTATGGATGGAGCTCAACCTTCTCCGCCTTGTCCGTAAATCCCGCAGAGGATTGACTTCCCATTGCAAAGCATGGCACCTTGGAGCCAGTCGAGCTCCGTGGACAACCCGCGTAGTTGCCCTGAGCTGGACCGTCTAGTTCGTCGTTCGATAGCAAACAAGCGTGGGTTTCAGCCTGAACTTGGTTGATGACGAGCTTCCTCATGGGCAGCGCAAGTCAACTTGAGTTGTTGGGTGTCAAACCAAAACGAGTGCGCGCATTGCCATGATCTCCTCGTCACGTCGTGGAGACGTACCAAAGCACTTCGCAGAATACACCCTAAAGTGAATCGACCCTACATGTCGCGCTCGAAACGCGGCGACTAATCATAATCGCTCAACAACTGCCAGGATCAGCAGCGGGAACCGTACCAGCATCGAGGGCTGGCCCGCCTCGGTCAGAAGACCTTCAGAGGCTTTCAATCTCTCCCAGGCCATAGTCATGTCTGCAAAGTCCGAGATTTAGTCCGAAGACTCCGTATCTATGTCGCTTGTAAAAGGAAAATAAGTACCATTAGTTAACACTAAATACCGTCGACGATGTAAAATTGTTATTGACAAAATAACGACTAAATTATTAGTATTGCTATATAACCGGCACAGCAATTGCTGACTGTGGCAATTGCTGACTATGCTCAGCTGATAAACCTTCAACAAACTCAACCCCAACTGTAAAGCGCTTGAAATAACCCGTAAAGATTCTAACTTGGATTTTATGGGTAACTTCAGTTTCGTGGCGTAAGTGGCAACACTCTGGACTTCCAATCCGGTGACCCAATCTCGGTGGCACCTTCACCTTCAATCTTCCAGCGACGGAGTGTTCGAGAAGACGCAGAACAACAACAACAACGACAACTTGGATTTATACAGATGCCGGGAAGGCGTCTCAGAGCGCTTGACAACTGATCGCGCAGAGCATCTCGTTTGAAGTCCACCAAATATTCTCACCAATTCTCCCGATGTGAAAGGCGCTTTATCAATGTAAAGTCGCATACGTGTACTGTTTTATCGATCAGCAAGTTCCGTTCATGTTATTCCATTCAACTCTATGTCCCCCTCCCCCACCCCCCCGCGCTCCACCGCTGGCGGTCAACCCTTCACCCTCTCTGCCCCCACCCTATGGAACTCGATCCCGCATTCCTATCCCACGTTGCTCCCTCACTGCCTCCTTCAAGGAATGCCTCTGGTCGAGACCCTCCTCTTCGACCGTACCTTCGGCCATGCTCCTGCCCTCTCTGCCCTCCACCCTCGCTGATCACACCGCACATCATTGCCCGGGAGCCAAACAGAATGGGAGACCATCACTAAATCCATGACTTCCCTTTCTCCGCACTCTTAATCGTAGGTCCGACTCAAATTTGGGCTAATTTGAAGCGCGGTACGCGTCGTATTTCGTGCTCGTGTGGCGCTCTACTTGTAAACTCGCCAGTGACACAAATTCAGTGAAAACAGAAGCAATTGGTGCGATTCTGTTTGGCCTCTTGCGATGCTCCCAAAAGATGGCTCGTCCCATCTGCTGACTGGCCACCAAACAGATGAGATGCGCCGTCTGGACCAATACCCTGTGTGAGGGCTGCCAGTTGTTGTTGTTGTTGTTGTTGTTGCCGTCGCCCTCACGAAGATCATTAATGAAGAGATTTGATCCTAAATCCCAATAAGTCTCCTCATTCACCTTCACTCGCGTTTATCCTCTCTGCGCCTCACAAAATACACGAACCAAACTCTGGCTCTTTTATCATTCCCTTTGGTCATTCAGACCTCGGCAGCTCGTGTCCTGTCCCGCACTAGGCTTCGGGACCACATCACTCCCACCCTCGCCCTCGCTCTCCTCCATCGGCTCCCCATCCCCCAGAGGATCCAATTCAAGATCCTCATCCTCACTTCCAAGGCCATTCACGGCCTCGCTCCCTCCTACCTCTCCGACCTACTATCCCCCTACCTTCCTGCCCGTACCCTCCGTTCCTCTGGCTCCGGTCTGCTCCACATCCCCCGCCCCAACCGCCCTACCATCGGTGGCCTTTAGCCTCTCAGCCCCGAGGCTCTGGAACTCTATCCCCCAGTGCCTTCGCCGCCTCCTCCCTTTCCTCCTTAAAGGCCGGTCTTCAAGACCTTTCTCTTTGACCGAGCCTTCAGCTCCGCTCTCGACTCACTACCCCCTCCTCGCTCCCTCCCTTCCCTCCCCTCACCCTGACCATTTCCCCCCCAATGCTCGGGTCCTGACCCAACTGTCCAGCGCCTTGGGACGTCCTCCCGACGTGAAAGGCGCTCTATCAATGGAATCTTGTTGTTGTTGTTGTTGTTGTGATCGGCCCGAGTAAAGAAAGCCTTCTCGAATTACCTGAGATGAGAAGAAAATGGCAGTTCACCAAACGCAAGGTTAAGATTAAGGGACGTAACTGATTTTGGACCCAACAGTGGAAGAAGTAACGTGTAAAGAGATAAGGGCAGACACTTGTGAAATGGGGGCCCAAGGACGATCTCACACACCGGGAGGTCCAGCTCGTACCATCCATCCCTGGGTGACTGGAAAGCTATGTGAACTGTGCAAATTATCAGTGCGGATCGGGGACCAAAGACACGAGGAGGGAGAGAGGGTGAAGCAGAAGAGGACTCGACACGAAGGACACGACGACTGTACAGAAGGAAGGCCTTTCTCCAACCAGAAGCGATCCCAGGCCTCGAGTCGCCGGTAAGATGGCTTTGGTGGTCGTCTTTGCTGATATGATAATAACATCAACGTTTAACGGAGGGAACTGTAAGGTTGTGTATGTCTTACGAAACCGTGATGATCGTGTGTGTCTCAATTCCCAACTGGTGGAGACCCGGAAGACCCTGAAGTGAATTTGTATGACGTTGCAAACCTTTTACCGTTCTTTACAAAGCCACGTGGGGACGTAGCTCAGGGGTAGAGCACACGCTTCGCATGTATGAGGTCCTGAACGCCGCACGTTTATCGTCTGCCGACCTCGCCTTATCCATCGCATTAAACGTCAGCTTCCAGCGGCGATCATTAACTCTCCGTATCCAACGGAGGGAACCAATAAAACATGACGCGAAGTGCCCTTCGTACTCGGGCAGGTGCTGAACCTACGAAGCTCGCAGAGTGGCAGTGTTATTGGCTCTCAATGAAGAACTCACTGCCGCAAAGCAAAGTTCACGTGCGACAAAAAAACAAAGGACTGGAAGATGGTCACAGAAAAACGCTTTTATTTGAAAGTAATATAGTCCCCGACCGGGAATCGAACCCGGGCAGCGGCGGCGAAAACACCGAACCCTAACCACTAGACCATCAGGGAACACACTTGCGAAGAATAATTATTGCGCGTACTGTATCTCTCTTCCGTCCGAGGCTTCCCAAAGAGATTTGAAATGAGATTCCTGGACCCAGGACCCAGAGAGCTTAACACAACGTCATGGAGCCACGACAACAACAACAACAACGACGACGACGACGACACAATTACACTTGTAAAGCGCCTTTCAAGCCGGGAGGACGTCCCGAGGCGTCGGACGGTCAGCGCTTTTGGCCACGGAGGGCTTTGAAGGTGAGGACCAGGATCTTGAACAATATCCTCTGTGTGACGGGGAGACGGCGAAGTCGGGAAAGCTCGAGAAACTTTCACGTTCGCTTCAGGGTCTCCACCAGTTGGGAAACAACCGATTGCGCGTTCAAATACCGAAGCCCAGAGAAAAGACCCCACTGTTGGGTTATCCAGACGGTCAGAGTTATTTTTGTTCGGATGTTTTCCGGCGGAGCACAGGAAAGGTAAGTTGCTGTAGGACTGAGCAACCAATGCAGAGAAGAGGGCGCGACATCTTCACGCTGACGCTCTCCCGAATAAGCTATTTCAGCTCATGGAAAATCAAACTCATTTCATCTCGATCTCAAGGGTCACCGAGGCTTCACTTCCTCGTCGAGCGTTTGATATGTAAACGAGGGGCGAGCGCCATTTTTAGAGTCCGTGAAACCGTCCGCTCACAGCAAACGGTTTTTATCCCTTTCGCCTTCTTTCGCGGGGGCCGAACTTTCCGCCTCTCCGCCCCCCCCCCCCCGCCCACCACCCCCGCACTCTGGAACCCCATCCCACGGTCCCTTGGCCTCGCTTCCTCCCTCGCCTCCTTCGAGGCCGGTCTCAAGAGCCTTCTCTTCGACCGTGCCTTTGGTCTCCCTCCCACCTCTCTGCCTTCCCTCCCCCCTCCACCACCCCTCCCCCTCCCCCACCCCTTAACCCCCTCCCCCACCCCACCCCCCCACCCCCCCATGCTCGGGCCCCGACCCCTGACCGTTCAGCGCTTTGGGACGTCCTCCCGATGTGAAAGGCGCTCTATAGATGACATTTTGTGGTTGTTTTTTAACGGAAGAGACTACGTCAGTGCACTTCTGCGGAAAAATCGCACCAATTTTCCCACAACAAACCGCCACGAATGAAACGTTCACCTGAACGTGACGAATTGGCACCAACGTCAGAAGAAATTCACTTGAATTAAATGTCCACCAGATGGTGCTTTCGATCGTCAGCTTTGTGGGTGTAGCCAACAGGTTAAACCCCAATAGGTCCCCTCCACCTCGGCTATTGCTGTCCTGATCCAAATATTCCCTGGAATTAATAATCCTTGCATTCGATATAGCGCTTTTCACGTCTTCTCGATGTCTCAAAGCGCTTCACAGAATAATAATAATAATAATAATAATAATAAATATAATAATAAAAAGTGAATTGACTGTATATTTGTGGGCGATACGCGGCAGCCAATTGCGCACAGCGGCGACCCGCAAACAGCCGTGGATTAAAAATGACCAATTTATTATCGTTTTGTTTTGGGGGTATTATTACGCGGCGCGGGGAGAATTAGCACAGACCTGATGGGCTTCAGACGCATGTGCGACAACCAGAAGATATCACCGTGAGGCCATCAGTCACAACCTTTCTTTTTGCTTAAAAAAGTTGCTTCATCGACATTAGTTTATTGTACGACTGAAGGTGAAAATGTGAAGAAGAGTGACGGCCGAAGAGCTCCAATGCAGAAAACACGATTGTTTTGTTCGCCGCCGGAGATAGTTATGACCTCCGCAGAACCAAAGTCATATTAACACAACCGCTCGGGTGCGAACCCTCTCCTGTCGGGTGATCGGCGCTGCCCTCCCGGTGTAAAACACGCGGTATCAATGGATATGTTGACATTTGCTTTGCGTTGTTCTTTGGAGCCGCAGTTGGAGGATTGCATTTGTATTCGGAGTTGTCCAGAGAGGGTGATTTTATTTTCCGTCGCTTGGATTCCACCAAATTGTACCTAAAAAACGCTGCGACTTCGAACCTGCGCGGGCAAGTCCCCGTTGGATTTCAAGTCCAACGCCTCGACCACTCGGCCATCGCGGCCGCAGCTGAGAAAACTCCTTGAAAAGTCCTACGGCGCCATTTACGACGTTGCTCAATAATAATAATAATAATAATAATAATCCTTGCATTTGATATAGCGCTTTTCACGTCGGGAGGACGTCCCAAAGCGCTTCACAGAATAGACTGTAAAGTGAATTGACTGTATATTTGTGGGCGAACGCGGCAGCCAATTGCGCACAGCAATGTCCTACAAACAGTCGTAGATTGAAAATGACCAATTTATTATTGTTTTTGGTTTTGGAGGGATTATTATTAGGCTCAGTGTGGAGTAAGGAAACTTGCCCAAGGTTTCGCCCCCGGCCCGGGATTGAACTCAGGTCTCTCGCTTGCAAAGCGAGTGCTCTAACCACTGAGCTACAAGACTCCACAATTATATTGTAATCAATAAAAAGAAAATAGCAACAATGCACAACTGGAGAAAACAAGCTATACAGTAGATCCTGTAACATAATATAAATTTCATATTGGTCTAAAATTCACTGTACAATTTTGCATGTAAATTACAGCCAACTATTCAAGTTACCTTTATTGCTAACAGATGTTCGCACTAAAGATGTGAAGCAGCAGCTTTATGCATCAAACTGTTGAAGACATATGAGGTCATGCAGGCATTTATATAAAACCTTAAATTCAGCAAATTGCCCGAGGTTTCGCCCTCTGCCTGGGATTGAACTCAGGTCTCTCACTTGCAAAGCGAGTGCTCTAACCACTGAGCTACAGGACTCCACATGTACTTTCCTTGGAGGGGGCGCAGCGTAGATTTACTCGGTTCGTGCCGGGGATGAAGGGGATGAGTGACGAGGACAGGCCGACCAATTTGGGGCCTATGTTCTCCAGAATATAGAAGAATCAGAGGGGATCTTATAGAAACCTATAAGACCATCAAAGGCCGCGATAGAGTAGACAGTGGGAGATCGTGTCCCCCGGTTGGAGAAACTAAAACCAGGGGTCACAACCTCAAAATCAGAGGCCAGTCCTTTCGCGCTGAGTTGAGGAAGAACTTCTTCACTCACAGGGCGGTGAATGCATGGAACTCGCTACCCCAAAGGGCTGTTGATGCTCAGTCCTCGAACATATTCAAGACCGAGAGCGACAGATTTCTTATGGCAAAAGGGATTAAGGGATATGGGGATAAGGCAGCGTCGGGTTATTAGCTGAAGATTTATTTATTTATGATTTATCTCTGACTTGCTTTGGACAGAAGAGGGAGCTCACCTCGAAACAATCCTCATCGTTGCTCTGTTTCAATCACTCGGTTCCTCGCACCACTATGGGAATTTTATTTGTATTTTCCTCGCAACGAAACGGGCTTCGGTTTGACTTATTCCACGCGCTCGACGCTGAGTCAGAAAGTTATGGCAAAGTCAGAACGGGGGTTCAGTCCTCACACCGGGACTTGGGACACACAAATTCTCAGATGACTCTCCAATGGAGCGCCGGGGGGGGTGGGGGGGGGGTCCCTGGGCAACTGTCCTGCAAATAAAACTGGTCAGGGGCTCGATGGCTGTTTGCGGGACTTTGCTGCGGGCGAACTGTTTTTGCACATTGCACACACGAGACGTGCGAAGGCTTTTCCGAGACAACTAAACGACGCGACGCGCCTCCGCGTCCAATTATTATTGATGCTCGACGTTGCTGTGTGTATTGCAGAACTCGTCTGCGACGCCATTTCGTCTTCGGTCGCTCAACCCACGACCGTTTGCGGAGCGCTGCTGTGCGCCATCGGCTGCCGCCTCTGGCCCACAAAAACACACGGTCTACTCACGTTCTGCAGCGCCTTCCGCGAAGCGCTTTGAGACGTCTTGAAGGCGTGATGGGGCGCCGGGTCAAACGCGGGGATTACTATTCATACCGAAGCGCCGGAAGCTCTCATCCCCTCCTGTGACCGACCGACTCAGACCTTCGCGTAACAAGAAGTGTGAGATGGACCTGGAAGACGATTCCTATTGGGACGTAACTTATTTAATGAAACGACTGAATGGGTATGTCGCCATCTTAAAGAGCTTCTGTCGGAACAGCCTCTGCGTCACTGTATAAATGCACGTGTTGGTGCAGCAGCTGAGGAAGAGGAGCATGTAACCGACTTCCTTGAAGATGAGCCGAGAGGCTGCGTAGTCGCTGGTCACGGTTCGGTAATACACAACCTGCGCCATGTAGGTCATCCACAACAGGACGAAACTGCCTGAGATGCTGAAGAGCAAAACGATGGACCTCCTCCTGCTCTCCATCTCTGGGTCTTTCTCCTTCCCCCCGTTGCCGTGGCCTCGGAGCCTCCCGCGGGCTCGGCTGGCCACGACGATGTGCCTGACGGTCATGGCGTTGAGCAGGAGAATGAGGAGACAGGGGAGAAAGGGGGTCAAGACGTTGTGAACCCAGTCATACACGGCCCACGCCCACGAGGTGTAATAGTCAGCGACCAGAGCGCAGCCCCATCGCACGTCGCCAACAACGTAACTGGCTTCACAGGTGAAGTACATGGGAATGTTCTTCAAGCAGAAGAAGGCATTGACCGAAGCAATGGCCACCACTGCCCCCCTCGCTCGGCCGCACTGGGCTGCGAGGGTCCGGCAGCAGATGGCCAGGAAGCGATCGAAGGTGAACGAGACGGTGAGCCAGACGGAGACGTCGGTGGACGCTTGAAGCAAGACCAGCCTGAAGCCGTGGACGGGCGTGAGGTCCAGGAAGGAGCCGGCGGGAAAGTTGGCCCGGACTCGGTTCAGTACCACACCGTTGACGATGACCATGAGGTCCGCGGCGGCCATGGAGACCAGGTAGCGAGTGATGCACTTGGACAGACCACATCCCCCGCGGGACAAGATGACCATCGCCAGAAGGTTAACTGCGAGAGAGAGAGAGGAGACGGAGAGAGAGAGAGAGAGAGAGAGGGAGACACGCGGAGAGAGAGAGGGAGAGGGAGAGACACACACACAGAGAGAAAGAGAGAGGAGAGGGAGAGACACCCACACACAGAGAGAGAGAGAGAGAGAGGGAGAGACACACACAGAGAGAGAGAGGGAGAGAGAGAGAGAGTGAGAGAGAGTGAGAGAGGGAGAGAGTGAGAGAGAGAGAGAGAGTGTGAGAGAGAGAGAGTGTGAGAGGGAGAGAGAGAGAGAGAGTGAGAGAGAGAGTGAGAGGGAGAGAGACAGAGAGAGAGGAAGGATAGAAGGAATCAGGGAGAGAGAGAGAGAGAGAGAGAGAGAGGGACACGCAGAGAGAGAGAGAGGGAGAGGGAGAGACACAGAGAGAGAGAGAGGAAGAGGGAGAGGGAGAGACAAGTGGAGACGAAGAGAACGAAAGAGTGAGACGGGGAGAGACAGAGAGAGAGGAAGGATAGAAGGAATCAGGGAGAGAGAGAGAGAGAGAGAGAGAGAGAGTTAGACAGAGAAAGAAACAGATTCACCACAAAGACAGAGCAAGAGACGGAGATAAACAGACAGACGGAGAGCGAGTCAGGGGGAGACACAGAGAGACGGAGAGCGAGTCAGGGGGAGACACAGAGAGACAGAGCGCGAGTCAGGGGGAGACACAGAGAGACGGAGAGCGAGTCAGGGGGAGACACAGAGAGACAGAGAGCGAGTCAGGGGAGACACAGAGAGACGGAGAGCGAGTCAGGGGGAGACACAGAGAGACAGAGAGCGAGTCAGGGGGAGACACAGAGAGACAGAGAGCGAGTCAGGGGGAGACACAGAGAGACGGAGAGCGAGTCAGGGGGAGACACAGAGAGACGGAGAGCGAGTCAGGGGGAGACACAGAGAGACAGAGAGCGAGTCAGGGGGAGACACAGAGAGACGGAGAGCGAGTCAGGGGGAGACACAGAGAGACGGAGAGCGAGTCAGGGGGAGACACAGAGAGACAGAGAGCGAGTCAGGGGGAGACACAGAGAGACAGAGAGCGAGTCAGGGGGAGACACAGAGAGACGGAGAGCGAGTCAGGGGGAGAGAGAGAGAGACGGAGAGCGAGTCAGGGGGAGACACAGAGAGACGGAGAGCGAGTCAGGGGGAGACACAGAGAATAGCACAGACACAGCGGAGAGAGAGAGAGAGAGAGAATAGCACAGACACAGCGGAGAATATCAAAGGTTCGTCAGTGTTAGTGACCGGTCACACCTTATAATAATAATAATAATAATAATAATAATAATAATAATAATAATAATAATAATGAATAATAATGAATAATAATAATAATAATCCTTTGCATTTGATAGAGCGCTTTCCACGTCGGGAGGACGTCCCAAAGCGCTTCGCAGAACGCACCGTACAGTGAAGTGACTGTACGTTTGTGGGCGAACGCGGCGGCCGATGGCGCACAGCGATGCCCCACAGACGGTCGCGGGTTGAGAATGACCGATTTATTATTGTTTCGGGGTTGTGGAGGGATTATCATTATTATTATTATTATTATTAGGGCTCTGTGTGGAGTGGAGTGAGGAAACTCGGCCGAGGCTTCGCCCTCCGCCGGGGACTGAACTCGGGTCTCGCGCTCGCACAGCGAGTGCTCTAACCCCTGAGCCGCCGGACTCCAACTCTAACCCAAAGGGTTAAACGGACATCAGACTTTGAACTAAATGGATCGCAGATCACTTTCGGTCCCGGAGTCGGTCGCAAACTAATCCCCAAAGCAGTTCCACGAGTCAGAATGTCAAAGGTTTTAAGGGGAAAGGAGTGATATTCACTCTCTCTCTCTCTCTCCTCCGCTGTGTCTGTGCTATTCTCTCTCTCTCTCTCCCTCCGCTGTGTCTGTGCTATTCTCTCTCTCTCTCTCTCTCTCTCCATCCGCTGTGTCTGCGCTATTCTCTCTCTCTCTCTCTCTCCGCTGTGTCTGTGCTATTCTCTCTCTCTCCCTCCGCTGTGTCTGTGCTATTCTCTCTCTCTCTCTCTCCCTCCGCTGCGTCTGTGCTATTCTCTCTCTCTCTCTCTCCGCTGTGTCTGTGCTATTCTCTCTCTCTCTCTCTCTCCGCTGTGTCTGTGCTATTCTCTCTCTCTCTCTCTCTCTGCTGTGTCTGTGCTATTCTCTCTCTCTCCCTCTCCGCTGTGTCTGTGCTATTCTCTCTCTCTCTCTCTCTCCGCTGTGTCTGTGCTATTCTCTCTCTCTCTCTCTCTCCCTCCGCTGTGTCTGTGCTATTCTCTCTCTCTCTCTCTCTCCGCTGTGTCTGTGCTATTCTCTCTCTCTCTCTCCGCTGTGTCTGTGCTATTCTCTCTCTCTCTCTCTCTCCGCTGTGTCTGTGCTATTCTCTCTCTCTCCCTCCGCTGTGTCTGTGCTATTCTCTCTCTCTCTCTCTCTCCCTCCGCTGTGTCTGTGCTATTCTCTCTCTCTCCGCTGTGTCTGTGCTATTCTCTCTCTCTCTCTCTCTCCGCTGTGTCTGTGCTATTCTCTCTCTCTCTCTCTCTCTCTCCGCTGTGTCTGTGCTATTCTCTCTCTCTCTCTCCCTCCGCTGTGTCTGTGCTATTCTCTCTCTCTCTCTCTCTCCGCTGTGTCTGTGCTATTCTCTCTCTCTCTCTCTCTCCGCTGTGTCTGTGCTATTCTCTCTCTCTCCCTCCGCTGTGTCTGTGCTATTCTCTCTCTCTCTCTCCGCTGTGTCTGTGCTATTCTCTCTCTCTCTCTCTCTCTCTCCGCTGTGTCTGTGCTATTCTCTCTCTCTCTCTCTCTCTCCGCTGTGTCTGTGCTATTCTCTCTCTCTCTCTCCTCTCTTTCTCTCTCTCTCTCTCCGCTGTGTCTGTGCTATTCTCTCTCTCTCTCTCTCCGCTGTGTCTGTGCTATTCTCTCTCTCTCTCTCTCTCTCCGCTGTGTCTGTGCTATTCTCTCTCTCTCTCTCTCTCCGCTGTGTCTGTGCTATTCTCTCTCTCTCTCTCTCTCCCTCCGCTGTGTCTGTGCTATTCTCTCTCTCTCTCTCTCCCTCCGCTGTGTCTGTGCTATTCTCTCTCTCTCTCTCTCTCTCCGCTGTGTCTGTGCTATTCTCTCTCTCTCTCTCTCTCTCCGCTGTGTCTGTGCTATTCTCTCTCTCTCTCTCTCTCTCCGCTGTGTCTGTGCTATTCTCTCTCTCTCTCTCTCTCCGCTGTGTCTGTGCTATTCTCTCTCTCTCTCTCTCTCCCTCTCCGCTGTGTCTGTGCTATTCTCTCTCTCTCTCTCTCTCCGCTGCGTCTGTGCTATTCTCTCTCTCTCTCTCTCTCTCTCCCTCTCCGCTGCGTCTGCGCTATTCTCTCCCGTTGGACGCTCTGAGGCGCCTCTCGGCGATGGGATCGACGGCGCCGCTCAACAGCCTCAAGAGACTCAGACGTCGCGCAGCGCAGAGGAACAAACGGCGCAGTCACTTACCGGGGATACCGACTGTGGCGAGAGAGAGGTAGTAGATGGCGTACGCCTGTCCGACCACCGGCCGGTGCATGGTCCCCACACTGCGACCGGCGTCCCGTCGGATCCGTTTATACAGCAGAGAAGCTCCCGGGGGGAGTGGGCGGGAGAGGGGGGGAGTGGGGGAGAGAGGGGGGGAGAGGGGGGAGTGGGGGGGAGAGGGGCGTTGAGCGGAAAATTGCTCGAAAGGGTGGAAATTAATGACAGAATCTGAGTCACGTGCGGTGGTGTTGCATAAGCGCCTCCGGGGAGGGGGGGGGGGGTTCGTCGGCTCCCAGCAGTGGCCTCGGTCCCCGGACGCCGTCGAGGCTTTTTTTTTCCCTCTCCCTCTGATCGTTAATCCGACTCGTTCGGAGGACCTCTCACCTCTGAGGCGGAAACAAGCGCCACAACAACGACGAGATCGCATTTACAGAGCGCCTTTCGGGTCCGGGAGGACGTCCCCGAGGGGTCGGGCAGTTGGGTCGGGACCCGAGCGTCGGGTGGGGGGGGGGGAGATGGTCAGGGGGTGAGGGGAGGGAGGAGGGGGGAGGGGGGAGATGGTCAGGGGGTGAGAGGAGGGGGAGGGGGAGATGGTCAGGGGGTGAGGGGAGGGAGGAGGGGGGAGATGGTCAGGGGGTGAGGGGAGGGAGGAGGGGGGGAGATGGTCAGGGGGAGGGGAGGAGGGGGGGGAGATGGTCAGGGTGAGGGGAGGGAAGGAGGGAGGGAGGAAGGGGGAGATGGTCAGGGGAGGGGAGTGAGGGAGGGAGGAGGGGGGAGATGGTCAGGGGGAGGGGAGGGAAGGAGGGGGAGGAGGGGGGAGATGGTCAGGGGGGAGAGGAGGGGGGAGATGGTCAGGGGAGGGGAGGGAAGGGAGGGAGCGAGGAGGGGGAGATGGTCAGGGTGAGGGGAGGGAAGGAGGAGGGAGGGAGGAGGGGGGAGATGGTCAGGGTGAGGGGAGGGAAGGGAGGGAGGGAGGGGGGAGATGGTCAGGGTGAGGGGAGGGAGAGGGGCGAGGAGGGGGAGATGGTCAGGGGAGGGGAGGGAGGAGCGAGGAGGGGGATGGTCAGGGGAGGGGGAGGGAGGGAGGGAGGGAGGAGGGGGGAGATGGTCAGGGTGAGGGGAGGGGAGGGAGGGAGGGAGGAGGGGGGGGATGGTCAGGGTGAGGGGAGGGGAGGGAGGGAGCGAGGAGGGGGGAGATGGTCAGGGGAGGGGAGGGAGGGAGCGAGGAGGGGGGGATGGTCAGGGTGAGGGGAGGGGAGGGAGGGAGCGAGGAGGGGGTAGAGAGTCGAGAGCGGAGCTGAAGGCACAGTCGAAGAGAAAGGTCTCGAGGCCTTGAAGGAGGAGAGGGAGGAAGCGGCGAAGGCACTGGGGATGGAGTAACATGTGATGAAAGTGAAGTGTGAGGACGTGGACCTCATACAGTGTTGTTCCTGTGGTCTGTGGAGTGCTGTAGCTCAGTGGTTCGAGCACCCGCTTTGCAAACGAGACCCCG